CCTGGCCGGGGACATTGTGTTGTGTTCTTGGGCAAGACACTTTACTCTCACGGTGCCTCTCTCCACACAGGTGTGTAAATGGGTACCGGCGAATCTAATACTAGGGGGTAACCCTGCGATATACTAGCATCCCATCCAAGGGGGAGTAGAAGTACTCTTAGTCGTTTAAAGCTACCGAAACTGGGATAAGCTCCGGCCTGATGAGCCACTAGGCTTGCATGCAGACTTTACCTACCTCTATTAACTATGGTCTAGGACCTCACAATCTATTGAAGAAAAGTCCCAAGTTGTCAAAGCTACAAGAGCGTATTCCTCCTACCCTGAGGAGGGATTCACAAAAACATACCAGTCTTTTGCAGTCTGTAGAGACACATGGATGCGGGTAAACACCTAATGAGGTTAGACAGAGAAATGCCATGGACAGCATCAAGATAAAATGGGTTGAAATCCCAAACGTCCTTTAGTGATTATGATCCACACGAGAAATCTGATAGGGATGGGTCTGAAAACATCATGAAGAGGAACCCGCTTTTCTGAGAAAGTGAACACGTATGCGAAAAGAACATTCCTGGAAGATGAGGGGACAGGACGAAAATGTAGTGGATGAGTGCAGTAAGATGAGACACTGCAAGCCAGTAGTGGCAGGGGAATGTCCAGCAAAGAAGAGTAGCTTGCTGCAGACAAAATAGCCCAGTACTTTAGCATGTTGTTTGTGATGTACAGAAGTGCTTGACTAGCCATACATCAGGCTGATCTGGGTCGGTCTCAAAATGAAGCAGAATAGATCTTGACCAGGCTTGCAGTACGATGACAGTAATACTTGCCAGCTACTTTACCATCCACCATTTAGAGTATGTAATACAGTCTTGTGACCAGAAAAAAAAAAAACATTACTTATTTTACAGCGCTATGGAGCTATGGATGTACACAGGAGGTGACTGAGTAGGAAAGAAAACGGTAGCCGAGAGCCACTCAAGCTTCTTGAGTGCCTAGAAAAATTCAAAAAGTTCAACCAGGCCAAACCTTGCTAAACCTAAGGCGCTGGTGCCATGTATGTTGTCATGTCTGCTCGCTTGGAACCTCGGTTTCAGATGATTTCAGCTACCAGATCTTCTCAAGGCTCAATTTTTTCTCGAATTTTTTTTTTTTTCACACATCTTCTTACTCCCAGACATGCTATTATTTGCAATTTTTTGAGCAAACATCTTTGAGGTATAAACTTTATCTGCGGTTAACTCAGCATAGGAACTTTCAGAAGAAAAACGCATTTTCATAATAGCTAGCTAAAGCTCAATCTTACAGTTCAAGTATTGAACACGTGTTTACCAAGATTTACTTGCATGCCTGATGCAGCAAAAATCAATATTTCGAGGGTTTTTTGATCTCGGAATGAGGGCAAACAATAATTTTAGCAAAGAATACTTCTCAGGATTGATGAATTTGTATGCCGAGTGTAAAGTAAGAGTTGACAATAATCAATTGCAAGATAAAGTATTTGACCTGTGATGATTATGCAGGGTTTCAAGAGTAATCTAAAAAGCCACATATGCTGAGAAAAACTCTCATCTAACTACTCAATGTTTTAGAATTAAAATATCATGGCCGTTCATTCCCATATTTAGATTGTACGAATAGAATTTAGGTGTTTTGCACTGTTATTTAACCCTTGGACGTACAAGCTAACTCGTATTCCCACAGTGGTACAGGGGAAAGTGGATGGAATCCCCTTAAGTTTTCGTTAAGTTAAGGTACAGCGGACTAAACTTACATTGATTAGATAGCCCTGAACTTGTTCTACGAAATGATGCCATATTCGTTGGTTGTGACGTCATATAATGTCAAATGACGTCATTTGACCCGCCATCTTGGATTTTACTTTTTCTTAAAAAGCCAATAAATAACTGAAATTGATAGAAAATCAAGCCAGAATACGTATGAAATGTACAGATTGGTGAATTTCTGGAATTTCATGAAGAAAACTGGAAAAAATACAGAATTATGTAAAAAAAAGTTGACTTTTGGCCCAACCCACATGAAACTAGCGGCTGCCATGGAAACGTAAAAGATGATGGACACACAATTGACATGTTAAAATATTTGCGAAGGATGAATGAACAGCTACTAAATGTTCCAGCCCCTTAGATTAAATCGTCCTCTTAAAATTTTGTAAAAACCTTATTGGGGGATGCATATGGCATCCA